TAAATGTTATTTTTCTGTCTTCGTTTTGTCAGACGAGTCGCTGTTTTCGTCGAGTCGAGCTGAAGAGAAGAGCTGTCTGCTGCTGCAGCTCGCCCTCGACTGTCTGCACAAAATCTTCCTCTACGACTCGCACAGATTCCTGAGCAGGGAGCGAGCCGACGCCCTGCTGGGGCCGCTCATCGACCAGGTGAGACCCAGGACACACGCCTCAGAATCATACATCTGACTCACCACTCAGATTCAGACACCTGCAGAGTCCTGATGACTCTCAGACCACATTTTAATAAATGAAAGCTAGTTCAATCTGCCAGAGAAAGGATGGAGAAAGGTCATGTGGTCATATTTTCCGTCAGCATGTTTTTTTTAATCCAACTTCTCAGAATCTAGATTCATCACTTCTTCTTTTTTTGAACTCTGATTTAATGTTACATCAAGTCATCAGATGACTCGACCTCTGTGACCTGACTCGACCTCCATGATCTGAGAGTTGTTTGCTTTGACCCGACTTGTTGACGCTCTGAAACGACCCGGTAACACTTAGGGTTTTTACAGCTGCAGAACACAGTGGGCGGAGTCCAGGTGTCATCATCACAGGGTGACCCAGGACCTGGCTTATTTTACTTAAAACAGACTCGTTTTCTTGGATTTGACTCGTTAACTCCTAGTCTCTGAAATGACTTGTTAACTTGTTATCAGGTAATTGACCTCCTTTGTCATGCTGTTGGAAACACTGTGTACTTCTCTTGGACTTGTTTTCTTTAAATGGCTTGTTGACTCGTTACCTGTACTCTGACTCATTCACTCCTTACCTGTACTCTGACTCGTTACCTGTACTCTGACTCGTTACCTGTACTCTGACTAGTTACCTGTACTCTGACTCGTTACCTGTACTCTGACTAGTTACCTGTACTCTGACTCATTCACTCCTTAACTGTACTCTGACTCGTTACCTGTACTCTGACTCTTTACCTGTACTCTGACTCGTTACCTGTACTCTGACTCATTCACTCGTTACCTGTACTCTGACTTGTTACCTGTACTCTGACTAGTTACCTGTACTCTGACTCATTCACTCCTTAACTGTACTCTGACTCGTTACCTGTACTCTGACTCGTTACCTGTACTCTGACTCGTTACCTGTACTCTGACTAGTTACCTGTACTCTGACTTGTTACCTGTACTCTGACTCGTTGACTCGTTACCTGTACTCTGACTTATTGACTTGTTACCTGTACTGACTCATTGACTCGTTACCTGTACTCTGACTCGTTACCTGTACTCTGACTCGTTACTGTACACTGACTCGTTGACTGTACTCTGACTCGTTACCTGTACTCTGACTCGTTACCTGTACTCTGACTCGTTACCTGTACTCTGACTCGTTACCTGTACACTGACTCGTTGACTCGTTATCTGTACGCTGACTCGTTCCTCTTGTATTTCCACAGCTGGAGAACAAAGTGGGGGGAGTCGAGGCGTACCAGCAGAGGGTGACTCAGCACCTGGTCCCGTGTGTGGGTCAGTTCTCTGTGGCTCTGAGTGACGACACTCTGTGGAAAACTCTCAACTACCAGATCCTGCTGAAGACCAGACACACGGACGCCAAGGTGACACACACACACACACACACCTGGCAGGCCTCCTAGCCTGAGCTCACTGTGCCCTGAGCATTGCCTCGCAGGCATTTTAAACTTTTGCAAAGGAGTTTTTTTAAAGTGTAGTACAGGTAGTTAACCCCACTCCCCCCCCCCCCCCTCAGGTGCGTTTCTCCTCCCTGTTGGTGCTTATGGAGCTGGCGTCCAAACTGAAGGAGAACTACATGGTGCTGCTGCCCGAGACCATCCCCTTCCTGGCTGAACTGATGGAGGGTGAGTACACACACACACACACACACACACACACACACACACACACACACACACACACACACAGAGTGTCAGTCTCATCTCAGAACCGAAAGCATTTTTGCTCTTGATCAGTGTCGAGCAGTGTGCAAAGTTTTTTTGTTTTTGTTTGTGGTTGCCATGAAACATGATACTGATGTGTTTGTGTGTTTCAGACGAGTGTGAGGAGGTGGAGCAGCATGTGCAGAAAGTGGTCCAGGAAATGGAGAACATCCTGGGAGAACCGCTGCAGAGCTACTTTTAACACACACACACACACACACACACACACATCAGCGGTGATCTGATGGAACATTTGTACATCTGCATGGAAAAAGTAAAGTTGTTTTTCAAACTCAGTCTCTGTTTGTTTTACTCAGAATGAAACTAAATCGAGTAGAGCTCTCTGAGAACGCTGACCCTGTGAATTTATTTCCATATTCTCTGAAATGTGGCGGGGACCTAAGAGGAAATTCTCCTCAGATTTTACTAAAGCTATCAGGAATGTTGCAAGACTTTCTTCAGCTCTCTGTACCACCCAGATTAAGATTGCGTAACACATAAGCTGTGTGTGTCCATGCTTCACTTCCTGTTTCTCTCACTTTCATAAGGTTTTTTTTTTTCTGTGGTCAAGCAGCGAGCTGCCAGTAAACTTGTTCCTTCACTTTCATTCTGACAGCAAGTATTAATTTTAAATCCATTTCTGATAAAGGGAGTGAACTTCCTCTTCTGAAGAATTTGTTTTGACTGATTCACGACCCTCCTGACCAAAAACATGTTGATTCACACACAGATACTGCAGGAATGTGGTGTTGTCCAGCAGAGTCAGCCTGAGGTCATGAACTTCAAGTTTAAGTCACACTTTAAACTAAGGTCACAACAGTCACATGACCACCTTATTCCACATGACCATCGTTTATATTTACTTATGACTGCTCATTATTAGAAAGTGGGGAAGCTGAAATGATGTTAATGTGCTTTGCTTCTTTATGCCCTTTATAAGATTGAATGAAGCAGTGTGTGTTTCCATGTAAAAATAACCAGAAGTGTGTTACAGTACATAAACGGGTTTTAAACCTCCTGACAAACCGTTACACCGCGCCCACCTGTCAATCAGGTCAGCTACACGCCTTATTGTGAATAACTCTTATCCTTCATCAAATCAAAACTGATGAGTCATCAAAACATTCACCCCCCGTACAGTGTGTGTCCATCCAGACATGAGCTAATCACACCTATTTGGTTTTTTGAACCAGGCTGTAAACATGTTCATCTCTGCTGTAAAAACAGGCTTTTTAGAATGGGTGTGTATGTGACTTCCTGTGCTTCTGCAGCCAGCCTCTAGAGGTGCTGCTTGTCAACAGGCAACTGCTTGGGGGCTCACGAACTTAGAGCCATAGCAGTGTGACCCAGAATGTGCTAATTTTGCAACGACAGTATAAAAACTCCCTAAGGGCCCCCCTATCTGACCGCACTCACTCTCGTTGCCCCGCATCAATACTGTGAAAACCAACGTTAGTCAATGAAATCAAAAAATATAAAAGAGGAGGAATTATCCGTCTATAGGAGAGAACAAAGAACAGGAGTAATTGTTGGGACACGGGCAGACATGATGGTGATGAACGCTGGTTGGAGGGAACCCCCCCCCCCATGGATCTTTGCCTAGGGCCCCATCAGACTCTATAATCTCCACTGCCAGCCCCTAGTGGACACTGGAGGAACTGCAGGATTTTGCACCTAAGCTTTGGCTTCATTTTTCAACACCAGAGGATGATAAAGATAAAGATAAACTTTATCGATCCCCATGGGGGAAACAATAATGTTAAAAATAACAAGAAGTTAAAAATCATACATCAGTTAAAAAAAGGGTGAAAAAGTACAATAATAGAATAAGACAAGGTATGTACACTTGTACAAATACTTATTATTAAATACACACAGTGTGTAGCATTGTTGAAATGAGTCATGAGGTGGTGATGTTGTTAAACAGTCTGATTAAACAGTCTGACTTCAGATGGGATGAACGACCTGCGCTAGCGCTCGGTCTTGCAGGGTGGGTGTCTCAGTCTGCTGCTGAAGGAGCTGCTCAGGACCCCCACAGGGCCCCCACAGTGTCATGCAGGGGGTGAGAGGGGTTGTCCATGATGGATGTCAGCTTCACCAGAGGACAGTCCAATACAGAACTGGCCCTTTGTTAGGTGGGGGTTATTTCTGTAGTAGATGAACAATGATGAAATGGTGAAACAGACTGTGGATCATCTTAGATTTATTCAGCCATGGTCAGACAACACAGAAACACAACACACATGGCTGACAAAGTGCAGACCATCGCTGACCCATGCTGACCAAGATCTCACAATCATTGGCAAAGTGGCCATCATGGGCAAAATGGCAAAGTCTTCATCACACAGTGCTGCTTATATTCTGCTAGAAGGTACAGCCCACAAATTCCTTTCCATTTGGGTACATCACTATAAAACAATAAAGATGACATGACACTGATTTGTATACGTATCAGATGTAGACTCTCTGTCTAGCAAACAGTTGTTGACAACATATAGTTGGCTCCTATCTAAACAGCTTCACAGACCCAAAAGAAGAATTACTGTGAGATGGTTGACACAATTGAAAGTGTATGTGCACAATTTAATATGTCCACAAAATTATCAAGATGAATGAATCCATGAAAATACGTACTAACACCCTCCTGACCAGTCTGTTCAGTCTCTTCCTGTCTCGCTCTGTGCTCCCTCCTCCCCAGCAGACCACTGCATAGAAAAGTGCAGACCACCACAGTGTCATAAAAAGTCCGTAGCAGAGTCCTGCACACTCCAAAGGACCTCAGTCGCCTCAGCAGGTGAAGTCGACATTGGCCCTTCTTGTACAGGACGTCTGTGTTGTGTGACCAGTCCAGTTTGTTGTTGAGGTGAACACCCAGGTATTTGTAGGTAGAACAAAATGAAGGGTGGTGCTTTTATTTTGAAGGTAGACAAACTGAAGTGTGATGCTTTTATTTTGAAGGTGGACAAACTGAAGAGTGGTGTTTTTATTTTGAAGGTAGACAAACTGAAGTGTGATGCTTCTATTTTGAAGCTGGACAAACTGCTTTTATTTTGAAGGTGGACAAACTGAAGTGTGATGCTTTTATTTTGAAGCTGGACAAACTGCTTTTATTTTGAAGGTAGACAAACTGAAGTGTGATGCTTTTATTTTGAAGGTAGACAAACTGAAGGGTGGTGCTTTTATTTTGAAGGTAGAACAAAATGAAGGGTGGTGCTTTTATTTTGAAGGTAGACAAACTGAAGTGTGATGCTTTTATTTTGAAGGTGGACAAACTGAAGAGTGGTGCTTTTATTTTGAAGGTAGACAAACTGAAGTGTGATGCTTTTATTTTGAAGCTGGACAAACTGCTTTTATTTTGAAGGTAGACAAACTGAAGGGTGGTGCTTTTATTTTGAAGGTAGACAAACTGAAAGGTGGTGCTTTTATTTTGAAGGTAGACAAACTGAAGGGTGGTGCTTTTATTTTGAAGGTAGAACAAAATGAAGGGTGGTGCTTTTATTTTGAAGGTTGAACAAACTGAAGTGTGATGCTTTTATTTTGAAGGTGGACAAACTGAAGAGTGGTGCTTTTATTTTGAAGGTAGACAAACTGAAGTGTGATGCTTCTATTTTGAAGCTGGACAAACTGCTTTTATTTTGAAGGTGGACAAACTGAAGTGTGATGCTTTTATTTTGAAGGTGGACAAACTGAAGAGTGATGCTTTTATTTTGAAGGTAGACAAACTGAAGTGTGATGCTTTTATTTTGAAGGTAGAACAAAATGAAGGGTGGTGCTTTTATTTTGAAGGTAGACAAACTGAAGTGTGATGCTTTTATTTTGAAGGTAGACAAACTGAAGGGTGGTGCTTTTATTTTGAAGGTAGAACAAACTGAAGGGTGGTGCTTTTAATTTGAAGGTAGAACAAACTGAAGTGTGATGCTTTTATTTTGAAGGTGGACAAACTGAAGAGTGATGCTTTTATTTTGAAAGTGGACAAACTGAAGTGTGATGCTTTTATTTTGAAGGTGGACAAACGTCTTTTATTTTGAAGGTAGATAAACTGAAGGGTGGTGCTTTTATTTTGAAGGTTGAACAAACTGAAGGGTGGTGCTTTTAATTTGAAGGTAGACAAACTGAAGGGTGGTGCTTTTATTTTGAAGGTAGAACAAACTGAAGGGTGATGCTTTTATTTTGAAGGTAGACAAACTGAAGTGTGATGCTTTTATTTTGAAGCTGGACAAACTGCTTTTATTTTGAAGGTAGACAAACTGAAGGGTGGTGCTTTTAATTTGAAGGTAGAACAAACTGAAGAGTGATGCTTTTATTTTGAAGGTGGACAAACTGAAGAGTGGTGCTTTTATTTTGAAGGTAGACAAACTGAAGTGTGATGCTTCTATTTTGAAGCTGGACAAACTGCTTTATTTTGAAGGTGGACAAACTGAAGTGTGATGCTTTTATTTTGAAGCTGGACAAACTGAAGTGTGATGCTTTTATTTTGAAGGCGGACAAACTGAAGTGGGATGCTTTTATTTTGAAGCTGGACAAACTGCTTTTATTTTGAAGGTGGACAAACTGAAGTGTGATGCTTTTATTTTGAAGCTGGACAAACTGCTTTTATTTTTTAGGTAGACACACTGAAGTGTGATGCTTTTATTTTGAAGCTGGACAAACGTCCTTTATTTTGAAGGTAGACAAACTGAAGGGTGGTGCTTTTATTTTGAAGGTAGACAAACTGAAGGGTGGTGCTTTTATTTTGAAGGTAGAACAAAATGAAGGGTGGTGCTTTTATTTTGAAGGTAGACAAACTGAAGTGTGATACCTTTTATTTTGAAGGTGGACAAACTGAAGAGTGGTGCTTTTATTTTGAAGGTAGAACAAACTGAAGGGTGGTGCTTTTATTTTGAAGGTAGACAAACTGAAGGGTGGTGCTTTTATTTTGAAGGTAGAACAAACTGAAGGGTGGTGCTTTTAATTTGAAGGTAGAACAAACTGAAGTGCGATGCTTTTATTTTGAAGGTGGACAAACTGAAGAGTGATGCTTTTATTTTGAGGGTGGACAAACTGAAGTGTGATACCTTTTATTTTGAAGGTGGACAAACTGCTTTTATTTTGAAGGTAGACAAACTGAAGGGTGGTGCTTTTATTTTGAAGGTAGAACAAACTGAAGGCTGGTGCTTTTAATTTGAAAGTAGAACAAACTGAAGAGTGATGCTTTTATTTTGAAGGTGGACAAACTGAAGAGTCATGCTTTTATTTTGAAGCTGGACAAACTGAAGTGTGATGCTTTTATTTTGAAGGCGGACAAACTGAAGTGGGA